GTTCGATGCATGTCATTATTTCTCACCTCCGGGTGACAGGGCCACTGGCGGATTTTCAATCCTTGTTAAGCAGAACGTTATTGACAGACCAGTAACACTTTCAACTAATCTTCAAGCCGTTGCAGTGAGACTCACTCTACATGTTGCCTTTACAATATGCTCGCTGTATATTCCGCCTTCTTTCACACTACACCTGTCTGATCTTCAGGCTCTCTATGATCAACTTCCGAAACCCTGCACTATAATGGATGATCGTAATGGCCATAGTCCACTCTGGGGTGGTACAAATACTAACACTAAAGGTAAAGTACTGGAAGATATCATCGCCAATAATGTCTTGTGTATATACAATGATGATTCAAGCACTTATCTGCATCCTGCAAACGGCACCTTCTCTTCTCTGGATTTGTCTCTTGCAGACTCTAATCTGTTCAGATTAAGAATGGGAACACAATATTAACTGATAAATCTGACATAGCTAATAAATTAGGAGAAACTTTAGCTCAACATTCTTCATCACCAAATTATACACCAAACTTTCAAACATTTAAACAACAAGCTGAAAAAATGAAAATCAATTTTGCGTCTGACAATGGTGAGGACTACAATGAAGTTTTCTCCATTCATGAGCTACACACTGCCTTAGGGCAAGCTCATGATACTGCCACGGGTCCTGATAGTATTCATTGTCAGTTACTTAAACATTTACCTGATTCCTGTTTAGAGACCCTGTTAAATATTTTTGATCAAATATGGACAACGGGTAATTTTTTTCTTCTTCGTGGCGGAATGCTGTCATTATTCCAATTCCGGAACCAGGGTGTGATCACACTGATCCTTCCAGCTATAGGCCAATATCGCTTACTAGTTGTGTTTGTAAGACCATGGAAAGAACGGTCAATAAGAGACTGATATGGTACTTAGAAACAAATAATCTTATTACGAATATCCAGTGTGGGTTTAGGAAAAACAGACCATTTAGTTAGATTAGAAACGTTTGTTAAGAATGCTATCGTCCATAAACAGCATGCTGTATCTATATTTTTTAACCTAGAAAAAGCATATGATACAACCTGGAACAACATGCTGTATCTATATATAAATAACTATCTACTGTATCTATATTTTTTTACCTAGAAAAAGCATATGATACAACCTGGAAACATGGAATGTTGAAAGATCTTCATGAAATGGGTCTGAGAGGTCGTTTACCTAATTTCATATCACAGTTTTTAACAAATCGACATTTCCAGGTGCGTGTGGGTTGCACCTTGTCTAAATTTTATGAACAAGATCAAGGTGTCCCACAGGGTAGCATATTATTTGTAACGTTGTTCAGTATCAAAATAAATAGTTTATCGAAAGTGTTAAATGACTCTGTTGATCGGTCATTATTTGTTGATGATTTTAATGTATCATGTCAGGGTAAAATATGCACACGTTTGAGAGACAGTTGCAGCTCTGTCTCAATAAAATTAATGATTGGTCAGAACGAAATGGCTGTAAGTTTCCTAAATCTAAAACTAACTGCAACCATTTCTGTCGTAAGTATAACCCACATAAGGACCCACACCTACATCTATCGGGTACTCCTATTAAAGTAGTTAAGGAAGCCAATTTTTTGGGTATCATATTTGATCATCATCTTACGTTTCTACGTCATATCAAATACCTTAGGGCAAAATGCCTGAAGGCATTAGATCTCTTAAACGTCGTCTCCAATGCTAATCGGGAAGGTGATCAGTCGACCCTTCTTCACTTGTATAGAGCACTAATTCGTTCTAAACTTGATTATGGTTCGATTGTTTATGGTGGACCCCGCAAAAGCAACTTTAAACTTTTAGATTCTGTCCACCATCAAGGTCTTAGACTTTGTCTTGGATCTTTCAGAACATCACCTATTGACAGTCCATATGTGAAGGCTGATGAGCCATCTCTCAAACAACGTAAAATAAAATTATCATTTCAATACTTCTCAAAACTATATTCAAATGAGTCCAACCCTGCCTTCAGCTGCGTCTTTCACCCCCTTTTATGGGAATCTGTTAAATAAGAAATCTTCTTTAATTACGCCTCCAGGAATAAGAATTCAACCTTTCATTTCTGCTGCTAATATCGATCTTGAAAATATATATCCTTTTCGACAGCTTTCTTACCCACCTGGGCAATTGGTAAGACCGCAGGTAGATCTAACATTAACAAAACTTAAGAAATCAGAAACCAGTCAACTAATCTACAAACAGGTACATAATCAGTTAAGAAACACCCATGAAACATATAATTCTATCTTCACAGATGGATCCGAGGATGGTGGCGCAGTTGCTAGTGCCACTGTCACTGGATCCAGAATAGTTTCTTCTAGATTGCCAAACAACAGCTCCATCTTTACAGCCGAAGCAAACGCCATTTTATCCGCTCTTAAGTATATCAATAAACAATCAAATATGAACAATACATTATTTTTTCAGATTCTCCTTCTTGCCTTCAGGCTATTAACAATATGTCATATAAATATCCACTTTTAATTGACATACTTGAATTGCAAAATTATCTTGCTACTGGCCAATATGACATCGTCTTTTGTTGGCTACCCAGCCATGTTGGAATCACTGGGACCACATTCGCCGATTCTGCTGCAAAAGCCGCTCTCAACAAATCTGTGACACCACTTCTGATACTGTACAGTGATTATAAACCAGTTATAAGAAGTAACATCCGGGATCTTATGCAGAAGAAGTGGGACACCCAAGTAGGTATCAATAAATTACATGCAATAAAACCAACTGTCGGTTACACCTTCTTGGGTTGTCAGTCCAGATTTGAAGAAGTCATTCTGAGGCGATGTCGTATTGGCCATTCTCGATACACACATGAGTATTTACTTAAAGGTGAGGATCCTCCATTTTGCATCCCTTGTGATGAGGGAATCACAGTCAAGCATGTCCTACTTGACTGTATTGATTTTTCCATCACAAGGGATAAGTATTTCAGTGTCAAAACAATGAAAGATTTTTTGTTATAATGTACATTCTAATTTAATTATCGAATTATAAAAAGAAATTGAATTATTAGATAAATATTGAACAATATGTTTTGTAAATAGACAAATGACATCTTATTATCAATGGTAGTATAAATTAGCAAACTGCGATTGTTAGTGGCTGTATCCTCTACGGGGGTTTCAGTATCATACAATTATAACGTAAGTCCCAAAACTGTCAAAGTCAATTTAGCTCAACCATGCTTTTTAAACGTAGAATATCCGTTATTTTAAATTATGGCTTAATTTCCCTTCCATCGCCACCGGCTGAGGGGATGGTGTAAATCCAGCTAGGGCCCATGCAGGAAGCAAATGTACTGTAAGTCCCCACGGTCCCTAGTATGGTGATCTACCTTCAGTTGTTGGCAATCTATAGCCTGTTTTGTATTGTATTGCCGTGTATAGTTAAATACTAGTTTTTATTCCTACCTGTGATAATCTAGTTGTTTTACTGTCCTTCGTTGACAGGTTTTTATAATTTAGCTTTAATATATATTAATTCATAACATGATTAGCCAAGATATGGCTGAAATATTGCCAAAGTGACTTTAAATTTTAACTCACACACTCACTTATTTGTACGTAAATTTTAGGGGGGGGGGGGGTAATTCACATTGTACATGCTTCATCAAATCATCATCACACACACACAAACACACACACCCCACACCCCACACCCTTGCCATAAATTATGACCGGTCACTTACGGCTGTATAATGTCAAGTGGCAGTGCATTTGTTGCAATCTAGGTCAGTACATTATACACTCGATAATAAACATAAATGCACAAGTTGTAAGCGTGTGATATGGAAGGAGGTCTTTATGAGAGACCAACCAAACGACGAACTATATCATTAAGTAAACGTATCAAGGTTTACATTTTGGAAAACTGTATATGTCAAATTAGTTTTTAAAGTCATAGATTGGGAAGAAATGACTGAGAGATAATGTAAGCAATGCCAGAAGTACGTGCGCAAAATCGTGTTGTATACTTGACACGTGAGCCCTGACCCCCTCTTGAATGCTATGAAAGTGTAATTGTGTCGTGCTGTGTGTCGTTGTTGTTTATTATGGGGATCAATCTCACCCTTCACGGACTGGATTGAACGAGGAAGTGAAGGTGAGTAGACGTGTGACGTGCAGGCGGTATCTGCCAGATTTCACGTACACTACAATTCTAACAATAACCAGGTATAGCGACGTCATTACTCGGTGATCAATCGACAAGGTGTGAAGAAAGTAGACCTCTGTGTTGCGTGTTCTACTTTCACTACGTACAGGTGTATCGATATGTACAGCCTACTCTCAGGTGACTCGGTCTGTGGACATAACGGTACATTGACTCAAGATGAAAAGCTATAATTGCTGTCATTACTACATTTAATATAATAATTAGACAGTAGTTGTTCATAGTCGATGTCGCGTTTCTTAGCGAAAGCATTTGACACCAGTCTACTTTCGCTTTGCCAATGAGCGCTGATTTCGAAGTCAGTGCTCTATTTGCGCGTACAATACACGTACATCATAGGCAGATCTAGGTATTTCAAAAGGGGTGGTGTGTGTGTGTGTGTGTGTGTGTGTGTGTGTTCATATCCCCTGAACCCAAGGTAAGTTCAATGTGGCCTTTAGTCAAGGCGACCTGGTAAAGGCAACTGTGGTGATAGCAACTCTGCCTTCAAGAGAACCAAGTCAAAAGAAATGAGAAGCTCATTATCAAAATCTGAAATGATATTCATTCTCAATCTGGCTTCGTATCACATTCTGTGTATGTATGTATATTGGCCAAGGGGTTGATTGGTTGAACATCATTGTGAACATCATCTAGTCAGTGTTGCCAAGTGCACGAGTCATTGTTGTTTCTTGGTGCAGATATAAGATGCCGGGCGTGTAGGCTTCTCCATGAACGCTTTGCGTCAAACCTGAAATGGATGTCCACAAATCTGATTCATCTTTGTCCTAGTACCGAGATCCTGCAAGCTGAAAAACAAAACGGTCAACCATCCAAGGACTCTCTGTGACAAACGTTGCTTAACTTTGACTGATTTGTGACCTGGGGTATATGCACAATACGACAACCCAACAGGCTGTTCTTGTCTCCCAGGGTAGGCACACAAGATATGATTGCAGAAGACTTTGATCTTAGAATTTTCAGTACTTCTCCATAACACATGCTATGTATGTTCATCTGTGAGCTTTGTCGGCTGTGTTTGAGCTGGTATGTTAACAAATTTCAAATGAACTCTTACTATTGTTTATATATAGAGAGAATACTAAATGTTGTCCTTTATAAAACCTTATTCATTCGTTTAATATTTATTTATTACCCATCCAACATAAGCAAAATAATGTATCAGAATTTAACTTACAGAATGAGTGCATTACGCCGTCATAACAGGGCTCACGCGTAGGAATACATTTCATTTATGATTGTCAACAATAGTCTGTTTAATTTGATTTTTTTAAGATGAACGAGGGGTTATGAAAAAGGGTCCACATAACTTCAACCAACATATCATTTATTTTGTATATATGCTATTACACGTCACCGTTACTTTGGCCATATTGCCTAGTGCAAATAGTCCCGGCAGCATGCAATGTGTAATAACATTATAGATTTAATGCATCTTCCATTTGCAGATGGCGACGTCTCAGAAACTGCAAGAAAATTTTCTCACATGCACCATATGTACAGAAGTATTTGACAATCCATGCACCCTTGTCTGTTATCACACATTCTGTCGGAAATGGGTCGTCAACTACACCAAAACCAAACCGGAAGCCATCAATGCCAAGTCTCTGGCCTCAGACCACAGTTACCCCCCTTAACTTTTACCATGACCCGGAAGTAAAATATGAGAATATAGTGCCTTGTTTAAATGGGCTGTTCTGCTTGTGCTGATTTTTTCAGGGTGACTTGTGATAGCTTAAATGAAAGGTAAGACATTGTACTTTATTGCAAAAATTTTTGGGTCCACAATCTACTCATGGTTTTGACACCAGCCTTCCTTGATTTGACCCCAAGTTCAAGGCTGTCTGGTGTGTTTCGGCTCGTAACTTCCGGTGACCATTGTTTACAGTGGATACAGCAAAATCGACATGGTCGATCCAGGCTCATATTTTGCCGATTAAGTGACAAGTGGCAGGTTGGTCAGCATGCAACAGGAGAACAGCCTACGACCGATATTAAATATGGTGCACTGGCATGTCACTGTAGATAACAAAGAAGGAAAATAATTGTGGTCTGAGGCCTGATATGGTGAAGGTAGTGCAAGTGTTTAATTTGCTATATGTCTGTTATTTTTCAAAATATTCACTTGAAACTTTGCATATTTACTGCCAGGAACATTTGAAATATGTATACATGTGTTTTCAACTGAAAATATTTTTTTTTACATTTTTTATGAATTTATTTCAGTTTTCTGATTGCATATTGTTTTAGTGAGTGAACGGACGCATCATATTTAGACAGATTGGTTCAATTATGGTGAATGTATGTATCACTACGCCGCACGTGCCTTGTAGATGCATGTGATACCTAAAATGGCTAATATTCAAGCCTTTTTCCAAAGATATAGAGCCAAGTTTGTGAAAAATTCAGTCCTCAGTGAGGAAAATGGCATATGTCATATGTGGACTGGAGCATGCAAGCACAGTGGGTATGGGGTATTGCGGTATTTTTGCCCCATAGCCTACCAGTGGCCGTACTACTCATGCTCACAGGCTGAGTTTTATAGTACACAGGGAAAACTTCGACATAGGTGATTACGACATCAGCCATTTGTGCCACAACAGTAAATGCACCTATGTCAAACACCTGTCTGCTGAACCACACAGCATAAATGCAGACAGAGTGGCCTGTGTAAACAGGGGTGTGTGTAAAGGCCATGCACCTTTCCCAGATTGCCTTTTGGCATTGAAGTTATAGGAGAACAGAAAAACAAAGGCAAAGTATATGAAAAATACTATATCATATAATATAGTAAAATTTTATTCATATTTCCTGATTTTCACCACAGTCACAGTTAGTTGTGACATAGCATTTATTCACAACACATAGCTTTAGAGACATTATGATGTATTTAAACTTAAAGTTAAACAGTATCTGTCTTTAGCAAGTAATTAGGAAATACAGTTCTGCAGCATCACTGCACATTTTCAATATTTTGAATAAGAATGTTCATGTTTTTTGCTGAAACACGGTACAGGGTCTAACTGACCCTTTCTGTAGTCCCCACTCTGCTTGTCAGTCTGTTTAGACTTCAAATGTTCACAGATCTTGCTTCCATGCTGTGTAAGTTTCCTTTTCACAACACTGGGGCTTTTCTGATAGTCTTTGTGATAGGTAGCCTCCTTGTCCATTTGTTCAAGTGACCGCACAGCTCGGCTTGAAAGTTTCACCCCAGAATGGTCGATTGCTGATGTCCCAGGGCCATTGTTGAGCCTGTGAATTGTAGAAGAAGCCCTCCCAATCATGTTCCTTGAAAAGTTTACATTCTTTGGCAAAGAAATACTCAGTGATCGATTGGCAGCTTCACATTTCTGTGTGTCTGTGTACAGTTTCATTTGTTCCCCCACTTCTACACTTAACTTCATTTTGAGAATTTCATTAAGCAAGTGTTTATCATTGTCATCCATATTGAAATGAGTGATACTGTTGCAGCCGAGGAACATGGATCGCTGCCACCAGCTGTTTGTTACACCTCCTCTACACACAACTGAGTACCGGGCACATCTGGAGCAGTCGCCGCTGTAGCACTTGAGGGTTGCTTCGAGCACTCTTGGTAAGATACTACGAAGCGTTTTCATGTCACCTGCATGATCTTTCATGAGTTATTTTAGTATCAGGCTGCACCGTGCTTTGACATCCTGGCTCAGCACCTTCTTTGCTTCCATTTTATGTGTACGAGTAGTGCCGGGGAACATATCTGGGTTAAAATCAGCTCTGTAACATTGTCGGAACTGTCCTTGAGCCAAGTGGGTTGGGTCAGCTAGCCTTTGCACCTTCCACATTGGGTCCAACACTTTGAGAGCTTTGTCTACTCCATCTGCAGACTTCGAATCCCCATCGGTTATGGCATACTTTATGAGTACACCCTGTAGTGCGAGCTGATTACCAATGTCCTCTCCCATTTTGAACTCAGAGAATGGCTTGAAGGCCGACATGTTCGCAGTACAGTCTGGGTGCCCCCCTGGAAATTTCACATCCATGCCTTTTGCTTTCAGCCAGGCACCAGTCCAGCAGAGCTTATTCTGGAATGACGCACCGACGATGAACTTCTTGTCAGTAACAGTTTCTCAGGCGTTGCCGATTGCTTGTGATGCATTCTGCCCTGGCTTCTTCCTGCTTGCTATTGTTGTCGAGTTGTATCGGCCATCCATAGCAATGTTCATCTCACACGGCTCAGTGCCCCTCTTTCGATTAACTTCCTTCACTAACTCCACCTTTTCTGCCATATCCTTAGTGTTAAGTTCAGTTACAGCCTTAGCCACCTTGTTGGAGGTCCTCTGCATACTGCTCCTGCATGGGGGGTGGAATGTCCATGTTGGCCATCAGTAACCTCGCTCTCGTATTTCCTATAGGTGTGTCCTGTAGACCCAAGGCAAGTCCCACGTTGGGTGCTGCTGGGTTTGGCCCAGGTTTACCCGTCTCGATTTCTTTGTATAACTTCATTTCAGGTGCTACAAAGTCACATGTGACACATTTCAGTGTTATTTTCCAGCATGCTCCCCATTTTCTCTCCTTGGCTATCTGCAGCTGAGGGTCGTCACAGTCACTGGATGTTGACCGATGCAGTCGCAGAGCTGTGTTCCATGCTTCGGCCACCTTTTCATTGTCGACTAGTCGCATACCCTCCAAATCATCTTTGCTTGACTCTTGTTTCAGGTCATGCTTGCTCGTTGAAGTGGGACGCAGCAGCCTCACTGAAGTAGAGATGCCATCGCAGTCAGGTGTTGACAGCCCAGTGCCATCCAGCCTTGACTTGGTGACCAGGGAGAAGTCTTCTGCACTCAACCTAGTGACTGTCCTGGGTATCTGGGGTGGAGAGGCACTTTCCGACTCTTCCGATTCAAGGGTGAGACCTTTGTTCCAGGGAGTATGGCCTTTGCTGAACTGTGACTTGATTCTCTTGCGGTCGCCTTTCATCGTGATTGTGTCGAATAGAACTAATGAGCTCTGAGCACAGCATGTATTTATATATCCCATCTCTGCGTGTTGTCACTGGCACTGACAGGCAGGTATATGTATTAGAAAATGTATTGGAAACTCAAGACATACACATGTCTTGTGCCACTGGTGTAAATCGCAGTTGAGCCATACACACCTACTGACACTTTGTCGCGTATTGGCCAGGTGTCAGGTGAGAGTGGACACGCTTGGTGACTCGCTGCACTTGATTGGCTGTACACAGCTACTTGTGCAGCCAATCAATTTAACGAGGAAAGATAGGGCTTTCTAATGAATAAAAATTTAACAGTTTCAATTTTCATTTTTGTTGAAAAATATGAACTTTAATGGAATTATTTTAGTATAAAATGCATGGATGTATATAAAAATAGATAAAAAAATGAAAAAAATGCTTTAATGGACTGAAACCAGTGTCCTTTGATAGCACATGCAATAACAAAAGAGGAACACTTGATGTTTTTGTCAATTTCCACCTTGTTATGGAGTTATAGACAAATTAGAATTGTGTTTGAAATTAATTCATGCCCAAAATTAACACTCAAATGCCAGAGATACAGCATGGAGTAAAAGGAGTATAAGTCAAGTTGTGTATGAGTTAGGGCTTTTAAATTTTCTGTGAGCCTTGCATAGTGTCTGGGCTTAGTATTGATGAAGTTTTATTTAATTTGCAGACATTTTGGTGTCCTGATAGGCCTCAGACCACAGTTACCCCCCTTAACTTTTACCATGACCCGGATGTAAAATATGAGAATATAGTGCCTTGTTTAAATGGGCTGTTCTGCTTGTGCTGATTTTTTCAGGGTGACTTGTGATAGCTTAAATGAAAGGCAA